AATCAATCTTGGTCTCAATTCCTGTCAGAAGAACTTGTGTCACATCTGTTGTTAGATTGGAAGTAATCTTTAAGATGTCTTGGCTTCTTGCAATAGATTAATAAACTATTCTTTTATTTGTTTTTTTTAAAAGATCTTTCTTTCATGAGCTGGGGATTTTGATGAAAATATTTATGAAAAATATTTTGAAAAATGACTTTAGGTTTTAATCTCTCCCTCCCCAGCGGAAATATTTGTAAATGACAATTCACCAACATTTAAAATAAGAGCATTGTGAGCCAATATTTATGATAGATATCAAATATGACTGTTAATTTCAGTTTTTTAGAAATAATTTTGGTGTAGCCATATCCTTTCGTAGATTGCCAGAAAAAATATGGAATGCATAATCTCCTAATTATTGGGTATGTTTGTCACCTTTAATTAGTTATAAAAATAATAAAGGCAGAACATAAATAAACATTTAAAATCTTTTGCAAAAGGCAAAGAGCATTCTGTAATGCAATTTTATTTTATTTGCATAGCATTGGCATAAGCAGGTTTCTATGTATATTTATATCAATATAATAAATTTAAATTGAGATATGATGCATGCCACCAAGTTATCAGAAAGACTGTTGCGGGTTTTATCTGTTTGATCTCCTGCTTTGTTATCATGGTTGATGGTCCCCTTGCAGATTCCTGTTTTCTTTCTTTCTTCCAACATGTTTTATCTTTAAACTATGTTGAATTCAGCCCTTCAGAAAGAGCATCACTCTCTGAAAAATGTAATTCACGGCTGCTCTATATTCTGCCAGTATTTTTCAGAGCTTTGTCTTGTATGAACAAATTTTTATTTTTATCTGATTTTTAAAAAAATTTCTATCTATATTTTTTATCAGGGCCTGGGTCTATAACTATAATTGTTGATTACAGCTAGTGTAAAGTAATAGTTAAGGTGCTGGACTGGGGATGAGAGACCCAAGTCCTAATTTCTCACTTGGGTACGAGGTCAGTTAGATGACTTTGGGCTAATTCCACTCTCATTGGGGGAATAATGGTCTACCAACCTCACTGGACCTCATGATAGAGTACAGTCTGTAATCCTCAATGGTGGATTGTTCATGATGGAGAATTAATAGCCTCTATGTGGGGGTACGTCACTATGTGTATAATAAAAAAATAAAGACTATTTAGTGCCACATGCTGTTAAATTAAATGCTATCTAATTGCAGTTTCGGTTGGTTTAATGCTTTGTATTGATCTCAGTCGGAGGGCTTAGTAGTTAATTTTCCTTGTACAGTCTCTCTGTCATCTGCCCCATGTCAGTTTTTCCTTTGCCACTGTTTGCGTTTTCTTTCAAGAAATACTGAAATAGTTCAATTTGCTTCCTATTTTAGTGTTTCTTAATATTGGTAACATTTTGCCATTTCTATTTTCCATTTCCGCCATTTGGTCATATGTTTAATTTCCATTTTGAATATGTATTTTTTAAAGTTCACATTATCCTTCAGGTTCCTTCTCTGTTTTTGAAGGTTTGGCTTCAACTCATTTAGGGCTTCAAAGGCTGAACTTAGAATTTTAAACAGAGCCAAAATATTAATTGGCTGATTGTGCACCTGCTGTACACGACTGGAGGAAAATAATCCTTATTTTGTTCATTTAACTTTTCCAAATATACTCCCAAAGCAAGATAATTGCTAAAGTTCAATGGATGCAGAGATAACTTAGACTAGATCTCTGGGAAAGGCCGTAATTGGTAATCATAAGATATCCCCTTAGCATCTGAGGAAATTGGTAGATCCAGGGCCACCTTCAAATTGTCTCTTAAAATCATTTATTTGGGTTGAATTTTAGTTTATTTCTCCATACTTGTTCATAATTTGTAAAGTTTACTACCTCTCTTGGATCTGCAGATGTGAGTCAAATGTAATATACATATTAATGTTTGGGGGTTTTTAATAGAAATTTTCTTGGATTAGTTGCTTATTTTAGCTGCATTATTGTTTGTCAGCTACCCGGAATCCTTTGGTGTTTGGAGTAGCCTTGAAATGCCATTAAATACCCATACATTTCATTCCAAAGCTTGAAGAACAATTTCATTCTATGTTAAAAACAGCCTGAGATGGAATTCACATTTTGTGGAATGGAACAGTAATTTCCTTTAATAAAATGAGAGCAATAACCAAACAAATAGTTGCATTCACACCAAATTTATCCATATTATTTGTGCTTAATGAAAGATACGAAAGGTTTCAAAACAAGAACCATATTATTTTCCTGTTTTTAGCAGCAGAGCCTCTAATTGCTTATCATTGGAAATATCTGGATAATCTTGCTTGAGAAAAAATAATTGGATAAGGTTTATTCTTTTTCCCTGCTTGAGAAGTCTCCAATAACATTCACCAACTTATAAAACAAAATGAGAAGTGATTATTGACAGGATTTTATCTGTTTTATAAAGGACAAAATGACTTCCATAAGGATGTATGGAAAATTTAAATGGCGTACAGTAAGAGTGTAAAAGCTGTTGTGTGTAATGTAATGTATGGAAACTTAATGTCATTGCTTTGAAATGGTCAGCCATATAAGTAGCTTAAATCAATAAATGAATATTGTAAAAATAAAATAAAATATGAATAACCATAGGCACATGTACATGCATAGGCACATGGTAGTCTCCCAATGCTTTTAAGACCACCTTTCCAAAAAGGAGCATAATATTAGCTATAATCATTGCATTGTGACATCAACATAAAACTTTTTTGTTTGCAAAGTCTAGGAGGGATTTGCATGTTTACCTAGGTTTACCTAGGTACAAAGGACCACATTGGGGTTGAGGGGAAGAACAGTTAGAAAATTGCAGATACTGATTGGAAGAGAAGATTTAAAAGAACAAAGTGGTTGGGTTTAATTTTGTAGAACTAGTTGGCTTTTTAATCATGAGTTATTGTGTACAAATAGTGGTATTGCTGACCAAACCTTTTAAAAATCCCCAGTAAGTGGTGGAAGTAAGTCACTTACAGAGAAGGTACATCTACGTACGGTCTCTGGTCAGTCCCCAACACCAGAAGTCTTCAGGATCTTTCAAAGCAGAGCTGGGAAATCTGCTTGGAGGTTACCTCGGAAAAGAAAAACACCAGGGCTGTTCCTGTCCCTTTTATATGACCACAGCCCTGCTTTGGCAGTGAAGGTATCTTACGCTGTGTTGGATCTTCTATTCTCTGTGGGGGGCTTGTAGTGTTTTCAGAGTTTAGTTGTTTTCTTGCCGATGTTTCATTACCCAAATACATAACCTCATCAGTGCTTGATGATGCAGTGCTGTTTATATATAAGTGGCCTGTCCTGTTGATGAAGTGTTCTTGGTGGTACCTTGATTGGTTTGATTGGTTCTCTGAGTTGCTAGTTCCTTGACTGAGGTATTGTTTACTGTTATTGGGTAATGAAATTCCTGCGGAAAAAGCAACTATGTTTGGAGAAAGCCAGGGACCCCTTGGGGCTCTTTGTAGTTCAACTCTGAGCTTCAAGTATTCTCTTTTATTGTTATTTTTCTGCTCCAGTGAACATTTAGAGCCGCTCAGTTTTGTAAAAAGTTGATTTCCCATATATATCTTTTAATGCAACCGACACTGCAACTTTGTGGTGTAGATTAGGATATAAATGCAAAAAAGTGGAAGGAATAAAATCATTCACATTTTAAGGCACAAATTCAAAAAATATTTGAATGGTTGCTTGAAAGTAACAAGCTTTTAAGAACTTAACTAGATGAATAATTGTAATGCATGATGAAGGAATCAAATCAATTGTCGCCATGCCAAAGAGCGGCACCCTCTGCTAGCATGAATATATCAGTACCTAATGCATATATTTTGGGAGATTCAGTATTCTCCTTGCTCTGAATGTATAGTAATTTTGGAGATCTTCCTTGGTACCAGGGGCCATTTGTAATTGCTTATGCCCCCACGCCAGTTCAGACACAAAGGCTTATATAATTGGGCTCTGAAGGCCTCTAGTTCATGCCACATAATTACCCTGACCCGTTCAGTAGCACTCTGATGCAGCATTTAAAAACTTCATACCACTGACACAATGGTATTTGGATCTAATTAGACTTTAATTTGATGTCAATTTAAATTAAGAGGCCTTGCACATACTAGCCCATTGTGACTTGGGTAATACTAATCTCAATCAGTAGACTGAATACAACATGAAGTCAGATTCTCACAGTACAATAGAAGTGACAGGAGCAACTTGACACTTTAAATTAAAATTACTAAATTCCAAGCAATTGATGTGTGTGACCCCCAAGCTATAACAGGATAGGTCATTAAATGCAGTCCATAGAAATTGAGCTGAGAAGCAGACTGTAATGAACCAGGGAAGGAAACCAAAGTGCTTTGTTAGCAGGCTGTGTAGGTGGGAGCAAGCAAGAAGCTTTGCAGTAAAAGAAGTAACTTGATGAATGGAGGTTTCCCATGTTTCTTCAAAACAGCCTGAAAAATCATGGCAATCATGCTTTGCCCATTAGAGCAAAAGGATGAAAGAAATAACTTAAAACCCCAGTTATTAAGTTTTCAGATGCAATGATTAATACATTTCTGGTTACTGAAATTAAACATTTTTTATTTCCTGTAATTTAGATGTGGCAGATATTTTCTTTCATGTTTTAATTTTAAATAGTTCAGTATCACAACAAGAATTGAATGTCCTGTTGCCTTTTTGTATATAAGACTATACATAATATGTGTATGTGATTTGGCATGCAGTTACAAAATTATATCCTTTCTTTTGTGTGAAAGAAGCTATTATTTTGGCATGTCTTACTATGTTAAAAGTATTAAACTGCGTACCTGGTAAGGGTTCGTAATTGAACCCAAAGTCCAGCAGCTAGCTATTGTGCTTCCATGTCGATAATCTTTCTTGCAGTTTCTCAAAATAGTAAGGATGGTACTATAGATTTAAAATTATCACTGAATTCTCAGTAACTTGGTTAACTGTGGTTCTAACTTCTTCCTTTCAAGCACTGTGACCTCAGCTGTTTTCACTGTGGGAGACAATGTGGTTTCAGGTAGTGATGATCGTACTGTGAAAGTTTGGGACTTGAAAAATATGAGATCACCCATTGCCACTATTCGCACAGACTCTGCAGTAAATAGGTAAGCCAAACTTCATTTAATCCGGTAGGCATTTGTTTAACAAAAAGTGATGCTCAGATCACAGCATAATTTAAGATTTAGTAGAAAATAGTAGAAAACAGCTACTGCTTTGAAATGCCCATTTTTCTTAATTCCTTCCTGAAATGCATTGTTGAGGTGCCATGTCTTTGGCATTATTGTTTGAAAAATAGCATTCTAGCATGGCAGCTAAGGACTGCCTTTGTCTAATCAGTTGTTGTATTTTGTAACTATGGCTGCTGTTCTAGCCTCTTCTGTATAAGAGAATGATGAATGATGAAGAGTACGAATAATGTAAAGTTGAGAAGGGAAGGTAATATGGATTTGCGGTTTGAAAGGCTGTTTTTGAATTGATATCCCATCTTTCTTCAAAACAGCCTGAAAAAAAAACATGGCAACGAAACTTTGTCCATTAGAACAAAAGGCTTACAGCCATTTTTTTTTGCAGTAAAAACAGACCAGGCTCTTAAATTAATGCAAATTGATTACTTTTTTTAAAAAAATTTTAGTATTTGAGAGTGGAATGTTTGTGATCTGCATGTTCATCAATCACCTTAGGATCCCTCACATTTTGTGGATTTGAAGAATTTAAATGCAAAGGATCTATTTTCCTTTGTGTTTTCTGAATCTTTAAGATGGATGGATTCTGAAAGTTGAAATTCACTCATCTTAAAGTTGCCAAGGTTGAGAAATCCTGGCCTACGCAGCTGAAGTACTTCAGATGAATTGATGCCACTTTTCTATTCGTGGTTTTGGTAGAGACCCCAGGTGCTCATTCCATTAAGTATTAACTCCAGAGTGGGTTTTCTTTCCTGAAGGAATCAGGATGGACTTTCTCTGTATAAGTATGAGCTTCAGAGTGGTTTTTTTTTTTGTCTTTACAAAATATTATGGGGGTGCATCTGGTAATGTCTTTGTGAATGTCTATGATACCATCAGTGCCAGAAACAAACCTCTTTTTTTTTTTTGGTAGAAAATAAAATTATATTTGTGGGAACTGTGTGTAGCATGAAATTCCAATTAAATCACTTTCAGTGGCCTTGAACTACTGTCAATCCCTGGCAGGCTATCTAATTTTTTTTTATCTCCTCTGCACAGGATTAATGTTTGTGTCGGCCAAAAAATCATTGCCCTTCCACATGACAACCGACAGGTTAGATTATTTGACATGTCTGGAGTGCGATTAGCACGTCTTCCTCGCAGCAACAGACAGGTAGCAGAACTTTAGTTACTTCTTTAACATCTCTCTCATTCTCCCATTTAGTTGTTTTTCTGCATGTTACAAAATATATATTATTTAGTTGAAACATAGCATGTTGTTGCAGTAAATCATCCAGTTGCCATTAAACTAAAACACTTAATACACCTACAGATAGATAGACCTTGTCTTACAGCCCTAATTGAGCCCAGAATTATTGTTGACGTTATTGCCATCATAAGTTGAGGCATCAGTTACAACCATTTTTTTACAATAGTCATTAAGTGAATTAAGTCATTAAGCAAATACTGGATTTAAGTGAATCCATTTTCCCTGTGAGCGATTTTATGATTTTGCCAGAAGCTGGAAGTAAACATGGGAACACACAAAAAAATTGCAAATTGTTTAGTCACGTGACTGCAGGACCCTGCAAATGGTAGTAAAGGCTGATAGGTGCCCAAAATGTGATCATGTGATAGCCCAAGGGGGTTTTAGGCAATTGGTTACATATCAAGGACTATTAATTGGTATCTTGCAAATTAAAAATTATTGGGTTTAGACTCAGTTTGGACTTAATTCTAAATGACCTCACCTTTTAAAGCAATGGTGGTGAGCCTCTTGGTGGCCAGTTAATATTTTTAGGAGCCTAAAGATTGCAGTGAACAATGATGTAAAGTGGACAAGACTGTGTCATATACATGGACAAGGTTGAGATTTTTGTTTTTCTCCTGAAAGCTTGTGAAGGTTTTCTTTAACTTTGATTGGCATGGTTTAAAGTATGGACACTATGGACTTAAGCTTCAGCCTGTTGGCTATTCCTTGCCTCTAAAGGGTTGGAATTTGTGCTATGGCTATGCAGTAGTAGTAGTCAATTAGAGAACTTAGAGTAAGGAAATAGGATCCAGAGATTGCTCATTCATATTGTAAGCTCTAAAACAGTGTTTCTCAAACTTAGCAATATAAGAGGTGCGAACTTCATTTCCCAGAATTCCTCAACCAGCCATTTCCTCAGCTATCCATACCAGTAAGGATCGCTATATGACAAATTCCTTGTCCCAGATGACAAGTAATAGACCAGCTACCTGAGTCCTCTTTAGTGAAGCTTTTTGATATGTTTCCTCTGCCATCATCATCAGAATGATGCTCCTGGTGATAGAACAGGTTGGAACTATCTCATTACAGAGATGCAGCTGAAAGTAAATCTGATTTCTTCCAAAGCCAGGTGAAGCTGTTTTTATTTAATAAGTTTCTCAGGTGCAATAGAGACTGCTATTGTCCTGTTACTTTTTTCCCCAGTTCCTATTTTTAATGTACTGAGATCTTAAATGATGCAGTAACCAATATATTTTTGGCGTATAAGACGCACCAAGGTTTTGAAGAGGCAAATTAAAAAAAAAAGTTTTTGCACTCTGCAGACCTCCCAAAACGACCCGTTTTTCGCAAAAATGAGCCCATTTTTTTTCAAAATAAAAGGGCATGAATAGCCTTTAGGAGGCTTTTAACGCTACAGCTCCTGCCCCCCCTCAAAAACGAACAAAAACAGACCATTTTTCACGAAAACAGGCCCATTTTTTATTTTAAAAAAGGGGCATGCATAGAAGGCTTATAGAGTGCTCCTGGGGCTGAGGGGAGGCAAAATTGAGCAAAAAACGGTCTTTTTTTGCTCATTTCTGCTCTCCCCAGCCCCAGGAGGACTCTACAAGGCTCCTAAAGGCTATGCACAGCCATTTTGGTGAAGGGGCGGGGTTTCAGGAGGCAAAAATTGCTGTATTCAGTGTGTAAGACGCACCCAGATTTTCAGCCTCTTTTTTGAGGAAAAAAGTTCATCTTATACTCCAAAAAATACGGTACTTGAAATGCTTTGTAAATTGTGAAAAACCTACTTTGTGCCATTATTTAAAAATAAGCTTTGATTCTGTTTTTGTTAGGCTTGCAAGTTTATGAGGTTGTTTATATGATGTTTGCTTATTTTTTTATGTTTATATTCAGCTTTGTGCAGAAACTCAGGTGGTTTATATGAGGTCACCTATATTTTTATTCTCACCACAATCCTATGAGATAGATTGCACCTGAAAGGTCCAAAATCTTCCCGAGAAGTTGAGAACCTGGTTCTCCTTAGTCTTAGTCTAACATTTCAGTTGTTTATATTGCTTGCCATTGTATAAAACTGTTAAAACATTGAATTTCGACTAAGTTAGTCAGTTGAGTGAAGTCATTGTAGTAGCAAAACTCTCACAAAAGGACTTTTTTCTTTTTTTTCTTTTTTCTTTGTATGTTGGAATTTAACTTGTGGTTTGTAAAAAAATAAATTAAATTTGATATATAGGTTTTGAATGTATCACTACTTCATGTGCTCTTACATCTAAAAAGCACAGTATATTAATTCTGACCCACAGAGTTCATTTTGAGAACTGCTGTTATGATATACTTGGCTACGGAAGGATGCTGTGCATTTTTAATTATGCGATGGACATTCTATAGGCATAGAGTTCAGGCGAAATTTTTAAACAAGATCTTTAAAGTTTATTTCAACATACAGGTAATCCTCGACTTACAACCACCATTGAGCCCAAAATTTCTGTTGCAAAGCGAGATACGTGTAGTTGTTAAATGAATTTTGCCCCGTTTTTTGCCATAGTTGTTAAATGGATCACTGAGGTTGTTAAATTAGTGATATGGTTGTTAAGTGAATCTGGCTTATAGGGACTATTTCTACTCAGATTTCCAAACCGAGATTCCATGATCCTGGAGCCCTTGTAAACACATGCCAGTTCCCAAATGCTCAAATTTTGTTATTATATGACTGTGGGGTACCAGTTGCAGGTCATTTTTTCCCCCCAGTGCTTCCTATTGTTGCTAAAGAACTATCTGTGTGGCCTAACAAGAGAGGGAGAAAAAAGATCCAAGCAAAGTCTAATATTGTTCTGTTTGTTGTCACAGGGTCATAGAAGAATGGTTTGCTGCTCAGCATGGAGTGAAGATCATCCAATATGCAACCTCTTCACTTGTGGATTTGATCGTCAGGCTATTGGATGGAACATCAACATCCCTGCTTTGCTTCAGGAAAAATGAGAAGTTCTCATGTTTCCCCAGTTTTATTGCCACAGACTTTGTGCAGACTTTCCTGTAAGCTGCAGTCAGTATAAAAGGCGCACTTTGAAAAGGGCGGTGGGTGGAATTGCAAATATTGTTACTGCATTGTGCACAGTTGCATGAAATGTACATAAAAAAAATGTGACCTTTTCAAAGAAGTTAGACCAATGTTTCTGAACTGTGGCAACATTAAAGTGTATGAATTTGAATTCTCAGAATTCCCCAGCCAGCATAGCTAGCCTGGGAATTCTGGGAATTGAAGTCCACATATTTTAAAGTAGCCAAGGTTAAGAAACATTGAATTAGGTTCTTGTGTATGAACTTTTTTTTATCTTGATATCCACTGGTGTCTAGAAGGACACTTAGCTTTCCTATGGAGCATATATGTTTGCAGTTTACTCATTCTAGTTGAACGTTAGGGCATTAAGTTCAGCTTAAATATGAATTCTGTGTACTTCCCATGAAAAATATATAGTTCACCTTTCTCCCATCACATTACACATTTGCCCTGTGGATAAAAGAGAATATAAAGTTACTCTTTAAGATGAAGGAGGGAGCAGATTGCTACAATGTGTAGCTGAGCTTTTCTTGCATCTATATATAGTGTGATCTGAAGACTCAAATATAGTATTAATTTCAACTCCTAGTATATCTTAGTTACTGAATTAAAAACAAGGGTCAGGGAAGAAAACTATAAATATCTTTATATAACAGATATAAAATGTTGGATTGCCATATTGGGAATGAATACTCCTGTACGTTTCAAGACCTATTTAAATTATTACACTCCTGGTCTGAGGAACCACTCTGTCAGATTCTCACATAAGGCAAATGACAATATTTTACAATCATGCAAATCTGAATAAGTTCTTAAAGCACTTTAGTTTAGATATAAACCCCAAATGTCCAGTTACATTTCCTGAAGAATGTGAGACTTGTATCTAAGAAGGATTTTCCTTACTAGTTTTTTGTGAATATTTTAAAGCTGGTGAGTAAATCTTGTTATTTTACTTGTTTTTATTTTTTTAAAAAATACACCGATGTTTTAATGTAGATTGACATAATTCTCTTTGAGCCAAGGACAACACAAGGCCGTGTCCAAGCATTCTGCCACACAAAGGGCGTTGCTTCTCTCCCTTCCCTCTCTTACTTAATGGCCATTCTTGGAAAGAATAATTTTATGGGATAGGTTGCTTGCATTACCAATTTTAAACTGAATTTTAAACTAAATTACTAAAGATTATCTAATTTTAAACTGAATTTTAAACTAAAATTGAAGCAAGTTTAATAAAACTTTACCAGGCTGAAAAAGTCAGCTTAAGAAAAATATAGTCCCTGTTCAACACAATCCTCTAGCCCCTCCTTAAATTTCACACCAGTACATCCTAAGTGGGCATTATCCTACTTAAATTGTGCTGCCAGATTTGCATATTTAATTCATATTTACAAGGGCATTTGGTAGCCACAAGTTGAAAGAAAAGTCTGAAAGTTGTACTTTCAAAATTCTTTCACAGATGAATGCAGAAAATTCTCTTTACTGTCCATTATTGTCTCCAGAGTGGCATGCAAATTGCTTAACAAAGAGTTTAAAATTAATTTTTATAAATAAGAAGTGTAGAAAGTATAGCTTGGGTGGGGTGGACGACTTCATATAGCTTGCCAAGATCTGCTTTGTGACCCAACAGAACTCTTTTTTGAGTAAATGGTAGAAAAATTGTGCCATTTGATGGTGTTTTAATTAGAAAATAGTATCTTAATCCTTGGAGATGTTTGAAAACACTTATTCCATTTCTTTAAGCTTTGTGACTACCTCCCAGACAAGCTTTAGGGGACGCGGTGGCTCAGTGGCTAAGACACTAAGCTTGTCGATCAGAAAGGTCAGCAGTTTGGTGGTTCAAACCCCTAGTGCTGCGTAACGGAGTGAGCTCCCGTTACTTGTCCCAGCTTCTGCCAACCTAGCAGTTCGAAAGCATATAAAAATGCAAGTAGAAAAATAGGAACCACCTTTGGTGGGAAGGTAACAGCGTTCCGTGCGCCTTTGTCATTGAGTCATGCTGGCCACATGACCACAGACATCTTTGGATAGCGCTGGCTCTTCGGTTTTGAAACGGAGATGAGCACTGCCCTCTAGAGTCTGGAACGGCTAGCACATATGTGCGAGGGGAACCTTTACCTTTACCCATACAAGTTGCAGGCCTCACCCATTTTTTAAAAGTTGGCTTTGATATGCTACCTTAATCTAGATGTGGCTCTCAATTTCAAGTCCTGTGGTAGAGCGTAGTGAGTTGTTATTGCTTCAATTACCCCATTTTTCTTTGGCCAATATTATTTCCCAATAGTTCTGCAAAGTATGAATGTCAGAGGCAGATCTACCTAGAAAACAAATACGATGAGAGTCAAGGACACCATTTATGAGGTAACTGAAATCCTAGAAATAAAATGATAGAATATCTGTGTGGTTATGGCGATCTTGGAAGAGGGTTTAATTATGAAATATATAGAATTTTAACATTGCAGGTAAGGGGCTAATAATTGAGGTATATGATGATTATCAAATATAGATTGTTAAGCAAATAAAATGATGTACAAGAGCAAGACTTATATGAGCTATGAATAGCTTTGTTGTGCATTTTGTTAGTAGTAGTAATAGTACTATTTTACAGTGTTTGCAATGCAATCTCAGTCTTGCCAGATGGAGTGTCTGGAGTGGAAACCTGCAGTGAGAGAAGCAACCATATCTTGACTGTTTTTGACTTTTGCACTGATGTTAGGACAAACCACCACAACAAAACATACATATGGGGTTATGTTGACAATGGCTTCTTGAACTCATATATACTTTGAGAGCAAGTTCCCTTAGTTACTTGATCTTGTGAAATTCCATTAGGGAAATCTGTTTTTATTGTGTGGCAGTAGTGTGAGTAGGGCAGTAAAGCTTTAAAAACATTTTTAAAAAGGAAAGGAATCCCTGCGGATTTTACTCTACTAGTTGTTTCTGACTATAGGAGGTGGAGCTCATCTCTGTTTCAAAGCCATTGAGTCAGCGCTGTCCGAAGACATTTCTGTAGTCATGTGGCCAGCGTGACATCACAAAGCGCTATAGTATGAGTACATACCATTTTTAAAAATAGAGTTATAACCCTGCCTACCCAGTTATGTCACATCTGCATTCCCTCCAGAAATGCTGTAACATCTTATTGCCTGGTCCAGAAATGCTTGTCTGTATCGATTGGGGCAGAGGGGTTGTTGATTGATAGCTGTTGACTATGCTGCTATTATGCCATCTCCGGAGGTTCTTTTGATTGGTGCAGAAAACCTTGATTGACAAGCTGAGCACATGGTGTCCTAGCTCCATCATCTTCACAATCATCACCTTTTATCAATAGATAAAAGGCAGATATACTCCTTGCCACATGTGCATCCTTTAATAAGATTATCTTAATTTGAGATGTATGTAATTCAATGTGCAAACTCTCTGATAGTGTCATCACCATCCTTGGTAAACTGAAAAAAACAAGCTGTAGAGCTCAGATCACCCCAGAAACATCTTCATCATGAGATATGTGTCTTGTCCTAGTCCAGATGCAGGTGCACCCCCATCCCAGGTCAAGGAATGCCATGTGAATGGGCTTGGTGTTCTCACCAAGCACTGAAAATGACATCCATTGTTTCACTCCCTTTCACATAACGACATTGGTTTCAAGTAATGGAGAATACAGAGCCTGGCATTGATAATTAGTTCAATTAAAATATATTCATGGTGTGACACAGAAGCTGGAACGGCCAATAATTCGAGCATTTGTTCTCATCAACCTTGCCCTTCCAAATTGGCACTGTAGTACTAGTTGCCCAAGCTCCCACAGCTGTCCCTCTTTGATGACTTGGTAGATTCATGGCACCTTAGTGGCTAAGGGTCTTCCACACTCCAGCTGGAATGTCGTGGGGGCTGGTTTCCTTCCCATTCTTCCTCTTCATTGCATCTTTGACTTCCCTGATGGTAATAGCGCAGGTCCAGAGACCAGATTGGCACTTTGGATTGAAGGGTGGTCAAATTCCGCATTCCTAATTTTGGAGAAGCAATCGCTCTATTGGTAGAGGATGGCAGGTGGGTCTCGAAAGAGTTGATGGTCCTCATCCTTTATGTACTTGACTTGGCCAATGCCCTTAGTGGCTTGATGACGTGCATTGGCCAAGCGGTAGATTTTATTTTCTCCTTTGGGCATGTACAACTTTTATCATATATGTAATCAAAATAAGCAGCCTTGACTGTTGCTACTGCACTCTTGGCAGCTGATTTTTGCACCTTGTCATGCCGGAGATTTTTATCTGTGTGGGACTGCAACCACACTTTTAATAGCCTCTTCTCCTTCACAGCTATTTGCACTTCTTCATTCCTCCACCAAATTTGTTTATCGATGGCTCATTTCCTTGGCTTCATAAAATTTGTAAAATTCAGCATTGGAAATTCAGCAAACAACTGATCGCCAATTTGAAGAAACACAAACAAATAGCAGTCATATATCAGAATTGTTACATAGTACATAGAGTTTATTGATGGCTGGGTGAACAAGGAAACCTTCCTTACATTTTTATTATTTGGAGGTCAGTTCACACCAATATTCTTAATGACTTAGTTTTCTAAAAACCTATGCATGGCACGCAAAGCTCCATTTGTGTGAGTGGCGGTGTGCCCGCCACTTGTACGGCATCATCCCCTCTCTCCTCTCTGCTAGTCCGCCAAGCCAGAAAGTTCTGCGTGATTACTCCATTTAAAAATGATATGTACTCATACTCCTTACAGCCCTTAGCTAATGCATGATTTTTTTTAATTTGGGGGTGGGTTTGGAAGGTAAGAATGGATTTTATTGGCATGGACTAGGCACATGCTTTTTAAGGTTTTAAAATAAAATAGAGGTGCATGAGATTATCACTAGCTGCTATTGGCTAAAGACCAACTTTTCACAGTGGAGAAAGCTTGTTCTTTCATAAGCCATAACATGGCTAGTTTGTGTGGAGCAAGCTAGTTGCTCAGCTGCTGCAATATCTCAAGATTGTAATGGAAGTAAAAGAGCCGCCAAGGGCTGAAGCATTACTGACAAACATGGCTAATGGTCATACATTTCATATTTTATGATCTCCACCTCGAATGTTTTTAGCAACTGTTGTGTGAGGGTATTTTAATTATGTCATATATTTTACTAGGAGGGGAAGTAATTGTTGCATATTTTTAATTTGGAAACCTCATTTTAGAGAAGATGGCTGTATACTGGGCAAATCACAAAATGCAATGTTTGTCTGTCTTTTTCTCTATGTATACATGTTCTTTAAAGAGTGCACATTATTTTTTGAAGATAAAAAATGTAATTTTCAGAATCTAAAGAATCTTATTTTGATGCTTAAGATTTTGAAAACCAGCTTCTCTGAGGAAAATATCTTACAATGTATTTCAATGTAGAACCACTGTGTGTGTTTTTTGTTTATATTTGTTTACTGATATTTGGTGATTGTGTTTTTCAGATGTTCAGTGTTTGTCCTTGTTGCAATCTGAAATGCCATTAAAATATTCAGCAGTTTTTGAATTTGCATTTTTAAAAAGCTCCAAATGACATGATTTACAAAAGTTCTGTTCTGCTCTCTCAATATTCTGTCTTAAAAGAGATTTCTCTATTTATTTAAATCTTACTGGAATTTCTTCTGCTATTAAAGAGAAAAACTAGATTGTAAAGAGTGACAGAAATATTACAGAAAGCAATAGCCATGGGTATTGTTATTCCTTCTATGTTCTAACACCTGTGACTATGAAATACATAGCGTCATCAGCCTGATTTTGACAAGGTTTGCTTCGCTAATTGGCTTGTGGTTCAAGACTGGAAAAACACTCATATTTCTACATGTATTTTAATATAGTATTTTTCATTCAAATGTTTAATTACAAAAATAAAAGACAATTCAAACTAAAGCTAAAAAGACATACTAAAAAATAGAAATAGGTAATAGAATGTATTAAAAA